TTCTGGTTGCTCCATGTAGATCTCTTCCTCCAACTCACCATAGAGAAAGGCAGTCTTGACATCCATTTGTTCTACTTCCAGATTCAAGCGAGCTGCTAATCCCAAAGCTACTTGAATAGAAGTCATCTTCACAACTGGGGAGAAGATCTCATCAAAATCAATTCCTTTCTTCTGCCCAAAGCCTTTGACCACCAAACGAGCTTTATGCTGCAATAGTTTACCGTTTCCATCTTTCTTCAACTTATACACCCATTTGTTCTTCAAGGCTCTCCTGTCTCTTGGAAGTGGAACAAGCTCATAAGTGTGGTTCTTCTGCAAAGAACACGTCTCCTCCTTCATGGCTTGCATCCAACAGTCTTTCTCTGTATGACTCTTGGCTTCCGAAAAACTCTCGAGCTCCCCCTCATCAGTAATCAGAATATACTGAGAAGCAGGATATTTGGTTGATGGCACAGCAGCTCTTCCAGATCTCCGCAACTAAGGCCCAGTTGCCTCTGTTTGAGGGTTTGCTCCCCTGCTCAACACCGTCTTTATCCGGGTCTTCATCTCTTTCTTCTTGATCCTCAATTTCTGGCATAAGATCCTGCAATTCTGGCATTTCTTGTTGCACATCATCACATCTAGCACTTTGTGATGGCTCGGGAGATGGAAACAAGTCTGGAGTGATGACATCTCTAGACTTTACAGATTTCTCAAAATCTGCTACTGTCTGGTCTTCCTGGAACACAACATCTCTACTCCTGAACATCTTCTTGTTCACTGGGTCCTATACCTTGTACCCAAATGCTGCATCTGAATACCCCACAAATATGCATGGAGTGGACTTGTCATCAAGCTTCTTTCTGTTTTCCTTGGAGATGTGTGCAAAGGCCTTACACCCGAAAACTCTCAAGTGAGAATATGATACCTTTCTTCTGGACCAGACTTCCTCAGGAATCGCAAAATTCAACGGGACTGAAGGCGACCTGTTGATGAGATAACAGGCTGTACAGGCGGCTTCAGCCTAGAATGACTTTGGCAACTTTGCCATTTTGAGCATACATCTGACTCTTTCCATAATAATGCGGTTTATCCTTTCTGCCACACCATTGTGTTATGGGGTGCCAGGAACTGTTGTCTAGTGCTGGATACCTCTGTTGGCACAGTATGTTGCAAAAACATTGGAAGTGTACTCCCCTCCATTGTCTGTGCGAAAACACTTCAACTTCTTCCCAGTCTCTCTTTCTACCATTGCATGGAACTCCTGAAAGTGCTGAAATACCTCATCATTTGTCTTCAGGAAATACACCCACAACTTCCTTGATGCATCATCAATGACAGTCAGAAAATACTTGCGGCCGCCATGTGACTCCACTTCTATTGGACCACAAACATCCGAGTATACCATATTGAGCACTTCTGTTTTCCTCTTGCTCGTTGAACTGAATGATACTCGATGTTGCTTGTCATAAAGGCAATGATCACACGGCTTCAAACCACTCCCTTTGGATAAGGGTATTCTGGATTGTTTTGCCAATAGATGCAATCCATTCTCACTCATGTGAGCCAGTCTTCTGTGCCATAAGTCCGGTGACTCCTTGTCTTCTGCTGCATTAAGACTTTCTAGATAGATCTTCGTTTGAGTCTTATACAGTATTGAAGACATCTCTCCTCTGGCGATTGTCAAAGCTCCTCCTGTCAGCTTCCAACGGCCATTTCCGAATGTACTTGTATAGCCCTATCGGTCCAGGGCGCTTCCAGAGATAAGATTGAGGCACAAATCTGGAACATGCCTCACATCTTTGAGAACCAACTTGTTCCCGACATTTGTCTGAATGCTAATGTCGCCAATACCCACAATCTTCGAATAGCTAGAATTCCCCATTCGAACAGTGCCAAAATCTCCAGCGTTGTACGAGTTGAAGAGTTCTCTGTGGAAAGTGGCGTGATAGGATGCAGTTGTGTCTATCACCCATTCTGTGTAGCTGTGGTCAACCACGTGAAAACAATCTTCCTCTTCACCAACTGCAAGAAGTATTTCATCAGTTGTTATGGCTATTATGTTCTCATCTCCTTTTGACTTACTGCTTTGGCATTTCTCTTTCCGATTTGGGCAGTTTCTCTTTATGTGACCCTCCTAGCCACAGTGAAAGCAAGTGAAGCTGGAGTTACCTCGACCTTTGTTGTCTCTGGATTTACTCCTGTTGTTCCGGCTGCCTCTACTCTTGCTTCTTCCTCTACCTCTTCCTTTACCTCTGTCTCTGTCTCTATCTTCTGTGACAAGAGCATGGGACTGATTATGGGACTGATTACCTCCCATGTCTTTCCTTCTTGTTTCTTCATTGTACATAGCGTATGTGACCATACTCATGGTCAGTTTCCCTTCTGGTGTAGAGGTGCTGAGAGAAACCACTAATGTCTCCTAGTTGTCCGGTAAAGAATTGAGCAGTAGTACGGCTTGCATTTCATCGTCCAAGCGCATCTTGACGGTTGCAAGCTGATTCATCAGATTTTTAAATTCACTGGTGTGCTCGGCGATAGACACACCATTCTTCAACTTCAGATTTACTAACCTTCTCATCACCAAGGCTTTGTTTCAGGTGGTTTTTGACTGGTACATGTCGTTTAACATTGTTCAAAGAGCATAGGCATCTGTCTCTTCGGCAACATGATGGAACACACTGTGGTCTATCCATTGTCTGATACAAGTGATAGTCTTGCGGTTCATCTTTATCCAGTCATCATCTTTCACTTCTTCAGGTTTAACCCCCTTTATAAAAATGGGATCAAACAAGTCTTTTAAAAACATGATGTCTTCCATCCGTGACTTCCAAATTGCATAATTGGAAAGAGTTAACTTGAACATAGATTCTGAAGTTGATGTGGAATCCTCCATCGTATACTGTCTTAACAGCGAAGCACTGGATCTCTCCTTCGGAAGGTTGACTGGTCAACGGCAGGATGGCGTGGCTAACACGTGGCTGACACGTGTCTGTTGTCAGACACGTGTGACCGACGTGGCAGATGACGTGTCGATGATATGGCGCTGACTGGTCGCTGACGTGTCTCGTCTCCTTCCTGCAGACGCGCGTGTAGCGCGTGGATGCGCGTGGTATGACGTGCCGACTGTCAACCGACGCATGGAGGCGCGTGGTAAGAGTGGATTTCACGCGCAGTTTTTGGGAAACGCGTGAGAGGTCTTTTGGGGCTGTTCTTTATAGTTCTAGACTCCTCTCTTGGAGTCCTTGCTTCTGGTATGTTCAAAATCGGATTTCGAGCAACTTGATTTCTGGGCAATTTCGAAAAACATTCTGTTTTGTTCCGAAACGCAACTGATTCGGCTCTGATACCACTTGTTAAGACTATGGGACACCAGAAATCAATTCCACACAATAACACAAGAATATTTACGTGGTTCGACAATTGCCTACATCCACGGAGAGGTATCCACTATAGAATTATTCCGGAGGGAGATTACAGAACTCACACCTCACAACTCTCTATAGAACTCTTACTCACAGATTATACTCTCCTCTGTGTATTCTCAGCTCAGTGTGTCACTCCCATATGTCTCTCTACAACCCCTCCTCACTCATGTCAATTTATAACCGAGTGAAGAGGAATAGGTGAAGTGACAACCATGAGTGGGCTTGGTTGTGCCACCCTCACCATCTACCTTTGGTGAGTTGGTATTGCCCCACCAGCTTCCTTTATTGCCCCACCAGCTTCCTTTACCACATGGTGCCACCCATACCATGTGGATGGTGGGCTCCTTACCATGTGGGTAGTGGATGGAGCCAACACTTCCATAACTATTGTCTTTGAAATCCTCAAATCTTGTAAAAGGGGAGATTTTGATAATAGCAAATGAACTTCTAATCAAGAGTGGAAAAGAATGTTCTAAATTATTCTCAAAAAATAATAGAGAGAGCCTATCTATGCAAGTGAGATTGCAAGTGAGATGGTGGAGAAGGTTGATACCACTAATAATAGAGAGGCTACTAAGGAGGGAAATAGAAGAAATCTAAAAGAGAAATTTCAAAACCTGAAAAAAGCTAAAGGAAAACTTGTTTGAATCCTTATTTTATCACCTTACCTGTCAAGTTGTGAAAGATTTTTATTTCTTCTCTAGGTTCGGTTTTTGGTTAGTAGGTCTTTGACTGTGTTTGTGCTCCCTTTCGGGATGTGTCTGGTGATCCGCCACCAAAAAAAGGTGCCAAAGAAAGAGTATAAGAAAATTAAATAAATAAAAAAACATTTACAAAACCCATAGTCAATAAATTATTCCCCAAATTACACTCCTATGTCAAATTTCATTCTACATCACCAAAACCAAATCTGGAAAAGAAACTTACAAAATAGCATTCCCAATGCTTTATCATTCGAATTTTTTTAGTAGTCAACCAAGCAAAATTAAGTGTGATTGTTAGAGTGTAATATGAGGTTTGGTTGTGGAGGTGATGGACTGCGAATTTGTTGCAAGTTTATCAAAGAAAACCTAAGATTGAGAATGATTGACACGATTATTCTCTTTTTTTATTTTTTACTAAATAGTAAAAATAATAAAAAAAACACCCCTAAAAATGCAAGTAAAGAAAAACAAAAATCAATAGAAATAAAACCCAGAGTAGATGCAATAAAGTTGCCCACAATAGATGCAATATTGTCTTCATGATAAAAGAACACAAAAACCCAGATAAAAACTAATAGTTAGTTTTAAAATATAAAAAAAAAAATTGAACAATGAGAGAAGGCATTAAGAATGCATAATAAAATTACTCAAGGAAGAAGATTAAGATTAAGACAAGCCCTTAATACAAAATAAATAAAAAATAACCTGCTATGTAGCAATCAAATTAACATAAGGTAGAATTGGAAACATGACATTGAGAAGAAAATCTACAATTCAAGGCTAGGAATTTCTATAATTTGAATAGTATCCATAGAAACCAAGCTATATCACATCTTTTGTTTGTATAGTTCTGAAAATAAGAATCCACTGATGTCATAATTCAAGGAAATGTTACAAAGTTTGTTATTATTCTAAAGATCAAGCCGAATTAATATTATACAATTTTATGCAACAGAGCAACAGCAAGCATTTTTTATCCAATGATCACACTGGGGGTAGCATCACATAAGTTAACAGTTATTTGCCATCGCAAAACCCATAAAAAGCATAAAGAGAGAATAAATAATATTTTAAAAAAAATACCCACTACATAAAAAAATTCAAGATACAAATCCGGTACCTTATGTAGCGAAGATTGAATGATCCAGCTGCTTTTGAGTGACAATAATTCTAGCGATTGATTCACCTACAATACATGTACAAAGCATTATATATATACACGCACACACATACATATATTAAACATCATCTTTTAAATTTTTAATAAATTACAGCCACATACATTGGCCTAATTTTCCATTTGGCCATGACCCAAGCATTTGTAATACTGCAGATCATAAAGAAGAATAAGTAATAACCAACAACCTTTCATTAGTAATGAATATCATACAAGTTAATTTCCATACACTACTATTGATTTCTATAGCAGTCTCGTACATTTAATTTGTCCATAGGAACTTCGGCAAATGTAGCCACCAAAACATAAAACTTTACTTGTACTCTGACAAAGTTTAAAGTGTCAGAATCAGACCAATTTCATTCTTATAAATCCTCAAAATAATATAGAAACTAAACCCCCGTAGGTTGTGTGGAAAAAATGTCAAAAATTCTAAACCCACATAACAAATCTAAGCTTCTTTATTTTCACCAAGTACAATATTGAAACAGGAAAAATAAATATACATAAATAGTTACTGAGTAGTGCATCCCAAGAGAAAACATCTCTAAATCTAGAGAAAGTAAAACCGCACATAGGCAAACAAGACCAAACTGTGGTGTGGAAAAAATGTTAAAAATTCTAAACCCACATAACAAATCTAAGCTTCTTTATTTTCACCAAGTAAAATATTGAAACAGGAAAAATAAATATACATAAATAGTTACTGAGTAGTGCATCCAAAGAGAAAACATTTCTACATCTAGAGAAAGTAAAACCGCACATAGGCAAACAAGACCAAACTGTAACCCGAGATTTACATGGTTCACCCAAATTCAAGGCTATGTCCACTGAGTCACTTAACTAAAATCTGAATAAAAGAATTACAAGTCTCTTCACACTCAATCTCGCAAACACTCTATTGATCTTTCACTAATGTATATATCTCTCAACAAGATCACAAAACTTATAACTAATGGAGTTGTAAAGGTCTATTTAAAGTGCTAGATCAAATCTGGACAGAACAAAGATTTTTTGTGCGCACAAAATCAATCAGGTCAACAACCTCCGGTTGTGCTGCCCAGAGGCTCCACTCACACAGATTAGTCCAGTATCAAAACAATCGTCCCAGTCAGATTCTGCTTGTGCGGCCAAGAACCTCTGCTCAATTGAGTGGATCAGGTCAGTAGCCAAAATCCTTTTTCTAATTACTCCCAGTCTTGTTTCAAGCTCAACCAACAACATATTCTAGTGTGTTTTACACTGTCGAAGGGAGAGGGGGCAAAGAAGGGTCGTGGGGCTGAACATTGAAAGTTCGAGAAACAAATCTAACTGTAGGATTAAGGAAGTATCAATCTCAGTCACCCAACTAATTGTACACATTTTCAAAAACTGACCTGTTCTATTACATTGAGATCAAAAGCAAAAATTTCACGCAGAATTTCTTAGAAACAATCAAATACAAAACTGGTGAAAGCAGCAAATATAAAATTGAAGAATCCAAGACACGAAAAAATTATTGAGAACAATAATTAACTAAAAGCAAAAATATCCATTTGAGAGATATACAATCATCAATCAGAATAATAAGATGTAAAGTATGTAGAGGAAAAATATAAGCTCCAAAATAGGAGCAAAGTAACAACTTATATAATTATACTAACAGTAAAAAAGGAAATAGTCGATAGTAAAACCATGTCCAAATTCCATTCAATCCCATCCCATGTAATATTTTGCTACAAGCTATTGTGAAGGGAAACAAAAAAAATATTAGAACTCAGGATCCTCAAACCTGTTGTTTTCATTAAGCTCTTGTTTTCATAGTTTTATAGCAAAAACAATAGAAAATTCATGATTCTATCATTGAGAAGTAATTGGACCGAATGAATGAATCATGTAAACATGTTATAGCGAGAAATTTTTAAAACCAAATTCAAATGAAGCTAAAAAATGTGCAAAAACAAGATTATATTTATCAGGAAAGAGAAGCCGTCCTTTGCAACCCAAGTGAGTGGCCCTGTGGGAAATACACCACACCATTGAAGATTATCACCACCAATGATCAGTGGGAAGGACACCACCACTCTCTAGAAGATTATCACCAACCAACGATTGAGAGCAAATATAACAAAAACCAAAGAAAATAAATCAAACGACCAACATCTTGACACAACAGAGCTACAACAAAACAACAAACCAAGCAAAATTTGGGTTCAGAAGAAAAAAACTAACAAAATAACATTAGATATAAAGAAAACAATCTTGACTTTGTGAAAATTACACAACTTAAGACCATCAGCTCAAGATCTACTCAGCAAACATGGTTTCATCCCATGTTACATGATTACAGATTAGTCTAAACATCCACTTTTAATAAACAAATAAAACATACTTTTATTTTTTTTTCCCTCCTCAGTCCTCGTAGCAAATCCTATGCCTATTATGCACAGGAAATATGGTATCAAGGAGTGTACCAAATCCTATAGTTATCCTTTTTCATAAATGGGACCCTCCAAAAAAAATTACAGTAACACTATAGTGATCAAATTTTGAATATAAATATATAGTTTAAAAGAACCCACCACCTTTCATATTTTTAACTCACACATTGATGACACATCAAATTCCAAATATCTAAACAATTAATCTACTACGAAAATGATACCCCAATAGGAACCATATTACATGTATTAATTAAAGGGTAATACTCAATCAGGCATAAGGATATCTCAAATTAAAAAATTGTCTACCAAATATCAATTTTCACTTATCAGCCACCATGTTGGTTTTTAATAGGTGAACCCACTGCAAACAAGCCAAAAAGACAGTTTTTAGTGTTATTACAATTTATAATCTTTTAAGCATCAATTTTGCTTACAAAAAAATAAATACAAGAAAAAAGGAAAAACAGCTACAAAGAAACAAAGAATTTCAACAGTAAGCTAGGTCAAAGCAAAATGAAGCTTCAAATATAATGGTAACATAAACTCAATTGACCAAACATAGATAAAGCAAGAAATAAGATATTTATCAAATAATAGATAAAATATTAAACAAAGAATTGTAAGGCAAGGCTAAAAACTACAAAAATCAAGTACTATATATGGAATTACCAAATTAGACAAGTATCACAGATAAATGTGCAACAATTCATATGTCATATAATTAAAAAAAAAAAGGGAAAAAGACATAAATTTCAAAGCTATCAACTAAAACAAAAAAATATGAAAAACTATACAAAAAACAAAATGGTAAATTAGAAACTAAGATTATAAATTTCATTGCAAAGAAATCTATGAAAGGAACTTAGTCTCAATGGTGCAGATTGCGAGCAAGAGAAGTCCATTTTTCATAACCTCTAGCATTGAGGTCCAAAAGTATTGAATTCTTTGCTCAGGATTTCTTGGCCAAAAAACAAACCAAAAGACAAAGGAAACTCAAGCAACCAAAAACATATTTTTCAAAAGAAAACCAAATAATTTAAGAAAAAATATCAAATAATAGAGAAAATATTAAACGAAAAATTGTGACACAGGATTAAAAACTACAAAAAACAAGTAGTATATATAGAATTACCAAGTAACAAATCACCAGTATATATCAACTTGCAACAATTCATAACCAAACCAAACCAAGCCTTAAGTCTCATCAAATGAGATTGTCTACATGAATCCTTCTTCTCTACTCGACTCTATCAACGGCCATTTGATTAGTCAAATTAAGGAACAATTCATATATCATATAATTAAAGAAAAACGCAAAATCAGCACAAAGACACTTATATAAATTTCAAAACAATCAATTAAAACACAAAAATATGGCAAAAGAAACAAAAAACCGAAAAGTTAGTTAGAAACTACGATTATAATTTGGATTGCGAAGATCTAAGCGAGAAACTTAGTCTCAATAAAGATTGTGAGAAAGAGAAGTCCATTTTTCCTAACCTCTTGCATGAGGTCCAAAAACAATGAATTCTATTCTCAGGACTTCTTGGCAAGCAAACAAACCAAAGGACAAAGGAAAATCAAACAACAAACAAGATATATTTATTAGAAGAAAAAGAAAAGTAAATAATTCGAGAAAACTTATTAAATAATATAGAAAGTATTAAATAAAAAATCATAAGACAATTAAAAACTACAAAAATCAAATAGTATATATAAAATTACCAAGTAACAAACTACAAGTATATAAATTTGCAACAATTCTATATCATATAATTGAAGAAAAACACAACTAGCAAAAAGACACCTACATAAATTTCAAAACTATCAATTAAAATGCAAAAATATGAAAAACGAAACAAAATACCAAAAAGTAATTAGAAACTAAGATTATAATTTTGATTGTAAAGAAATCTACAAGAGAACTTAGTCTCAATGGAGACTCCGAGCAAGAGAAGTCCATTTTTTCTAACCTCAAGAAAGAAAAAAAAAGGATATATTTATTATAAAAAGAAAACTAAACAATTTGAGAAAATTTATTAAATAATATAGTAAATATTAAACAAAAAATTGCAAGACAAATTAAAAACTACAAAAATCAAGTAATATATATAAACTTACCAAGTAACAAACTACCAATATATATATGCAACAATTCATATATCATATAATTAAGGGAAAATTAATGAGACATAACTTTGGATAGTAGGAGAGGTGCAATATGTTTTTTTTTAATCAACTAAGGTCTCTCGATAAAAATTTTCTGTGATCATACCAAAGAAATTCAAAATTTCTCTATCAAAATTGAAATTTCTGTGTCAATGCAAAATTTCTCTATGAAAATATTGAGATATCCCAACTACTACATGACAATATTGTACATCATTTATCTTATAAAGTCTCAATATCAAAGACCTTAAAAAAATAATAAAAAAAAAAAAAAAAAAAAATTCCCCTATGATTAAAGAAAAACACAAAATTAGCAACAAAAAAAAAAAGTATCATATAAATTTCAAAATTATCAATTAAAACGAAAAAATATGGAAAATGAAACAATATACCAAAAAGTTAATTAGAAACTATAATTATAATTTGGATTGTAAAGAAATCCAAGAGAGACTTAGTCTCAATGGAGAACATGTTCGTTTTTTCTATAGCCTCAAGCATTGAGGTCCAAAAGTAATGAATTCTTTTCTCAAAGATTTCTTAGCAAAAAAACAAACCAAAAGACAAAGGAAAATCAAATAGCAAATCAGACATTTATTAAAACAAAAAGAAAACTAAATCATTTGTGAAAACTTAAAAAATAATAGAAAAAATATTAAACAAAAAATTGTGACATTGCATTAAAAACTACAAAAATCTAGTATATATAGAATTACCAAGTAACAAATTACCAGTATATATATTTGCAAAAATTCATAAATCATATAATTAAGGAAAATGCAAAATTAGCATAAATACACTTAAATTTTCTTTAAAACTATCAATT